TCGTTATTGAACAGCTTGCGAACCAATACGTGTTCCTTGTGCGATGACTCGTACATGTCGGCGTCGACCAAGCCCACCCAACCGTCCCTCCCAAGTATATTCCTTTTTTAATATACTTTTTCTGCTAGTAATAATTGTTTTACCAATGACCCCCAAAAAAAATTTAAATCATCAAAAAATAATTTAAACATATTTTTTTTGATGATGCAATGCACAGATTTCATGATGCTTGTATTTTGCGTTTGGCTTGCGCAGGCCAGGATATGAGGGAATATTTTTTTTGATGAGTTTAATTTTTTTGATGGGAAATTAATTTTCTTTTTGATGACTTTTAATTTTTTTTTTGATAGCTGACTCGTTGAAGGAGGGCACGACGGCCATGGTATGGGCCGAGGACTTGAATGGGGCATACAGGCAATTCCCAGTCAGGGACCCTGGGGGCTGCTACTGTGTCCTGATGACTCCTCAAGGACCAGTCTTGCTACAACATCATGCGATGACTTTTGGGGCTGTGAGCTCCGTATAGAATTTCAACAGAGCTGCCGATGGGCTGACATTTCTCAGCAGAAGGCTGTTGGCAACAGCCCTGGGGCACTACGTTGATGACTTCATTGTGGTCGAGACGGAATCTGTCGTGCAAAGTGGGTACGAGCAGTTCACAAGAATGATGAGAACCTTGGGCCTACGCATGAAGGAACGGAAGGCACTCCCACCGTGCACACAGCAAAAAGTCCTGGGCATCAACATGCACATCACACAAGACAGCGTGGTTCTGTCACCACACCCAGAAAGATGCCAGAAGGCCTGCTCCACGATGATGAGAGCGCTCCAGAAGAACGAGCTCTCGAACGATGATGCCCATCGACTGGCAGGCAAGCTGGTCTTTTTGACCTCGACCCTCTTTGGGCAACTGGGCAGAGCAGCGCTGCAACCATTGTATGCACGCGCGCATGGACTATCCAATGATGACCATCAGGGTCAGCTCAATGCCCGCTGCGGTCAGCATTACAGACCCTCGTGGGGCTCTTGAAAGAGATACAACCACGAGTAATCCCAAGACAGCGCGCTCGAGGACACATCATCCTCTACTCCGATGCTTACTTCGTCATGGACGGCCAGAGATTCTCTCCGGGATCAGATGGAATTCCGAAACAGTGGCACAAAGCAAAACGCCACACATATGAAAACGGATGGGGATGCGTGGTACACTTCGGTGGGACCACACTTTTCTCTGCAGGACGCATTCCAACGTGGGTCATCGAAAAGTATTGCACCAGAAAGGCATGCATATACTTCCTGGAGGTGGCAGCCCAGTGCATGGGCCTGCTACTGTGCAGATCCATGCAGTCAACGATGGTGATCTCCTTCATCGACAACACATCAGGATTCTTTGCTCTACGCAAGGGCTACTGCAAAGACCCAGCAATATGCAACATGATAGCACTGGTATGGAAGGGGTGATCGCTCACCAAGGGTGGCATCTTCATCTCGAATGGGTCCCCTCGGACCTCAACATCAGTGACCAGGTCTCCAGACAGTCCTTCACAGAGATGCATGAGATTGACGCCGCATGGACAGACCTGCATCGCACAGCGACTGACTCTGACCACGCACACGGCACAGCCTTGCACGATGTGCTCGCTTTGGAACCCCTCTGCTGCAAACATCTCACACTGGAGAGGTGGGTAGACTGGCGCCAGTGTGGGTGTTAAGCACACCAAAGGCCAAAAAGACAGCAGTGTGATCTGAATGCAGCAGAGCAGTTCAAACGAACGACTGATGTTTGGTAGCACAGCTGTGCGTAGGAACGTATGGAGGTAGTGCTGAGCTGTGAATCTGCAGTGAAGTGTGGGCTCAATCCCACACAAGCACCCTCCCAACCCCACGCCTTTTGAATTTTATGGCCAACGAGCACAGCTCGGGCATAGGTGCACATGGGTGTTGAAGGGCACCAGGTGTGACATCTGTGCCATAGGCAGAACGAGCTGTCACCAAGCACACCAAAGGCCAAAAAGACAGCAGTGTGATCTGAATGCAGCAGAGCAGTTCAAACGAACGACTGATGTTGGAAGTTTTTTGGTAGAAGCTGTCCATGTTTGTTAGAAGTCGTCCATGTTTGGTAGAAGTCGTCGCCCGCATTTGGTAGAGATTTCCGCGCGTTTCGTAGGAGTTGTCAACGTCTCTTAGAAGTTAGTTGTCATCGGAAACATCTGTTTATTTCTTCGTTGAGTTTTTCGACAAGTGTTTTCTTCAAGGTTTCGGGGGTGCCAATTGTTTTCTTTTCCTCCTGTTCCTCAATTGGTTCCTTTGGTTTCTCTTCCCTTGGTGCTTCTTCTACAGTCAGCTCTGTTATTGAATTATTATTCCTTGATGTCTTCGCTATCAAACAATTTTATAAGCACACACACATATCATATCCTTCGATGAGATATTCTTATACAGTCAAAAAAATATATGCGGAAATAGGCTCTCTAAGCAGAGCTGCGTGGAACAGGCAGTTCCCATACTTATAGGTTCGTATGCTTGAAATTCTATAGGGTTGACTGCTCCATTTTGGATTTATATAATATACCACTTCTTTCCGTGAAGTCGCCCCTTCCTTTTTGGAAGACTTTGACCATATCATTCACTTTGACGTTTGGATATTTGCAAGTATCCTTTTCCCTTCTTCTGGTTGACTTCATCCTGACATGTGTATGCTTCTAATTTCTAATCGTCGTATGGCATCCTTTTGACAGCACAGCAGCATAGCAGTCCAACTACCACGAGTAAACTGGACACTATCCTGCATTATACCTTTCACTGCCCTGATGAAGCGCTACCCTACATTGACGTGAGCGATGGTTTGAGTGATGCCTTGGAAAGAACGGTCAATATCACTCTAAACTCTAAACTAAACGGTCATTGGAAAACCCAGCTGTCTGGATCTCTGCTTGAACGGACAAAATGCCATAAGATTGGAAAACCCAGTTTTTCCTTTAAAAGGGACGACATCTGCCACCTTGCTGAATAATGACCACCAAGCTGTATCTCGGCTTACCGTTCTTGACCGGAACTCTTAAACTCTGATCAATTAGAAAATGTAGGAGTTTCAAGCCCTGTATTTCTTTGTAATTCCCCAACAGCAGAATGCTTTGGGGTCTTCAGCCATAGTAAAGGTTTCGGAGCAGACCGGAGCAGCTCCAAAACCGATTCCCCCAAGGTTCCCAGGTTCCAAGTAAAGGTTCCCAAGTAAAGGTTCCCAGGTTCCCAAGTAAAGGTTCCCAGGTTCCCAAGGTTCCCTCAAAGTTCCCAAGGTTCCTCAAGGTTCCCTCAAGGTTCCCAAAAGGTTCCCAAAAGGTTCCCTCAAGGTTCCTCAAGGTTCCCTCAAGGTTCCCTCAAGGTTCCCAAAAGGTTCCCAAAAGGTTCCCTCAAGGTTCCTTCAAGGTTCCCTGCGAGGTTCCCAAGTTTTCCAAGTAAAGGTTGTCAAGGTTCCCAAGATTATTATGTAAAGGTTCCCAAGTAAACGTGGTCCAGGTTCCCAAGGTGACATTGTAAAGGTTTCTATAAGATTCCCAAGGTTAGATTGTCAAGGTTCCCTCAAGGTTCCCAAAAGGTACCCTCAATGTTCCTTCAAGGTTTCTTCAAGGTTCCCTGAAGGTTCCCAAGTTTCCAAGGTTCCCAAGGTTGTATTGCAAAGGTTCCCTCAAGGTTCCCAAGGTTACATTGTAAAAAGTTCTCAAGGGTTCCAAGGTTATATTGTCAAGGTTTCCTCAAGCTTTCCAAGGTTGCATTGTAAAGGTTCCCTCAAGGTTCCCAAGGTTACATTGTAAAAGTTCCCAAGGGTTCCAAGGTTATATTGTCAAGGTTTCCTCAAGCTTTCCGAGATTGCATTGTAAAGGTTCCCTCAAGATTCCCAAGTTTCCCAAGTAAAGGTTTGTCAAGGTTCTCAAGGTTGTATTGTAAAGGTTCCCTCAAGGTTCCCAAGTTTTCCACGTAAATGTTCTCAAGGTCCCCAAGGTTATTATGTAAAGGTTCCCAAGTAGTAATATTCGTCGTAATATATTAATTTCTTTAAGAAATTTGAATGCGGCTACACGCGCGGAACCCGCGCAGAACAACACGCGCGGAACCCGCGCAAAACGCAGACGCGCATAACGCGCGGAAACCGCGCGAAACGTAGACGCGCGGAACCCGCGCGTACTATTAATACTTCTAGTACTAGTAGTAGTAGTAAGTAGTATAGCAGTAGCAGTAGCAGTAGCAGTAGCAGTAGCAGTCGGAAGTTTAGCAGTACCAGTAAGCAGTAGCAGTAGCAGCAGCAAGCAGCAGTAGCAATAATAATAATATCGTATTCATCACCCGTATATCGGCCTGCCAGACAAAACCGACACATGCCAAACGTTTGGTTGCTCTGTTGGACGGAGGCGAACAGAGCAACTCGGAGTCGAACAAAGCAACTAGCACCCGAAAACCATTCTTTTCCAAGCTATTTGCTCTATGAAACGATTGGATGCTCTGTTTGACGCAGGCGAACAGAGCAACTAAGTCCCCACCTGTCAGGTGAGATTTGTTAGATCATATGTTATCTCTTCTCTTCCTCCTTCTTCCACCGGACCTCAACTTCTAAAGAGATCGGTCAAGATGGGGATCGCACGAATCATTGTTTCTGGAAGATTTGGAGCATAAAGTTTGCATGCTCCCACTGTAATTTCCCAACGTTCACGGCGCGCACTGGAAGGAGAAGCTGGCAGCAATGTTCCAGTCAGAAGGGTGGCTTGGCCCGATGAAGGTCGTGCGGCAGGGTGACAGCGACACCTTCACCTATGTGTCTGGCCACGCCAGGACTCAGGACGTGCAGCTTGTATTGCTATCTTCGTATGGCTTTCGACTTGCAGCTGGAGCTTCCGAAGTGGATGCGGTCTATGGCCCAGTCTGTGCCTGTCATGGAACCCACGCGTACTATTAATACTTCTAGTAGTAGTAGTAGTAGTAGTAGTAGTAGGAGGAGTAGTAGTAGTAGTAGTAGTAGCAGTAGCAGTAGCAGTAGCAGTAGCAGTAGCAGTAGGAGTAGCAGTACCAGTAGCAGTAGCAGTAGCAGCAGCAGTAGTAATAATAATATCGTACTCATCACCCATATCGGCCTGCCAGACAAAACCGACACATGCCAAACGTTTGGCTGCTCTGTTGGACGGAGGCGAACAGAGCAACTCGGAGTCGAACAAAGCAACTAGCACCCGAAAACACCTCTTTTCCAAGCTATGGGCTCTATGAAACGATTGGTTGCTCTGTTTGAGGCAGGCGAACAGAGCAACTAAGTCCCCACCTGTCAGGTGAGATTTGTTAGATCATATGTTATCTCTTCTCTTCCTCCTTCTTCCACCGGACCTCAACTTCTAAAGAGATCGGTCAAGATGGGGATCGCACGAATCATTGTTGTTTCTGGAAGATTTCGAGCATAAAGTTTGCATGCTCCCACTGAAATTTCCCAACGTTCACGGCGCGCACTGGAAGGAGAAGCTGGCAGCAATGTTCCAATCAGAAGGGTGGCTTGGCCCGATGAAGGTCGTGCGGCAGGGTGACAGCGACACCTTCACATGTGTCTGGCCACACCAGGACGTGCAGCTTGTATTGCTATCTTCGTATGGCTTTCGACTTGCAGCTGGAGCTTCCGAAGTGGATGCGGTCTATGGCCCAGTCTGTGCCTGTCATGGTCGTGAAGGAGCCGGTGTCAGTTGCAGATCGGCAGAAAAAGATTGTAAATACAAAAACAGATGTAAATACAAAACGCAAAAAACATTTGAAAAAACAAGGCAATATTTTTTCGAACGCTGATTCATTGCTACTGGTGCATAACCCGCCTTCTTGCGCTTTTAAACGCTTTTATACTGGAGAAAACAAACCTACAAGAACACAATTTTAACCTTACGCAAAGCGCACCGGGTCTTCAAAAGGACGTAAGTAAAGAACGATAATACACAAAATATCGACAAACTTTAAGCCTGTTATTTAGATGTCAGAATGTATGCGAGATGCAATGCCAGAACACAATTCAAATAAAATCAGATGGAACACTTTATGAACACTTCAAGCAAACGCATTTGAAAAACCAGCGACGAAAGCGAAGCGCCATTTAAAAAAAAACGGCATAGCATGAAAACATGAGGTAAAAAGTCACGTAAGTGTAGTTGCACCTGAGTGCCATGCGTACAAGAGACATGTACCTGGTGACAATATACATATCATTATCCACGCCAAGACATGCAGAATTTATTTTCCATCATCGATTACCTGTGTCTTCATGTAATTAAACTTTTTTAAAAAGAACATATTTCAAAAATACATCCGTGTAGACAAGCGAGAAATGTACAACTCATACCAAAACTATTTACATCTATAAGGTCTGATCTAAAGAAAGTCCAGAGACGAAACAAATCTGTATTAATCTGTATAGTTTTTCAAACCTTGATTTCTACCTAGAATGGACAGGTGGATTCTGGAATCCGGGACCCGGGATTCGGGACCCGGATCCCGGGACCCAGATGCAGGAATCTAAATCCGCGATTATTTTTATCCAAAAATAAACATATATAGCTAAATTCAAGACATGAAAACGTAGAATCTGACAAATATCTAATCGTGGTTTGTTTTTTTTATTGAACGCGGTCATTGCTAGTAGTGAACAATCTATCTTATTGCTTTGTTGAACACTATCTATACAAACCAAGAAGAACACAATTTTCGGACCTTACGCAAATCGCGCCGAATTTTGAAAAGGACGTAAGTAAAGAACGATAATACACAAAATATCGACAAACTTTAAGCTTGTTGTTTAGATGTCAGAATGTATGCGAGATGCAGTGCCAGAACACAATTCTAATAAAATCGCATGGAACACTTTATGAACACTTCAAGCAAACGCATTTGAAAAACCAGCGACAAAAGCGAAGCGCCATTTAAAAAAAAAAAGTATAGCATGAAAACATGAGGTAAAAAAAATCACGTAAGTGTAGCTGCACCTGAGTGCCATGAGTATAAGAGACATGTACCTGGTGACAATATACATATCATTATCCATGCCAAGACATGCAGAAATTATTTTCCACCATCGATTACCTGTATCTTCATGTAATTATGGTTTTTTAAAAAGAACATATTTCAAAAATACATCCGTGTAGACAAGCGAGAAATGTACAACTCATACCAAAACTATTTACATCTATAAGGTCTGATCTAAAGAAAGTCCAGAGACGAAACAAATCTGTATTAATCTGTATAGTTTTTCAAACCTTGATTTCTACCTAGAATGGACAGGTGGATTCTGGAATCCGGGACCCGGGATTCGGGACCCGGATCCCGGGACCCAGATGCAGGAATCTAAATCCGCGATTATTTTTATCCAAAAATAAACATATATAGCTAAATTCAAGACATGAAAACGTAGAATCTGACAAATATCTAATCGTGGTTTGTTTTTTTAATTGAACGCGGTCATTGCTAGTAGTGAACAATCTATCTTATTGCTTTGTTGAACACTATCTATACGAACCAAGAAGAACGCAATTTTCGGACCTTACGCAAATCGCGCCGAATTTTGAAAAGGACGTAAGTAAAGAACGATAATACACAAAATATCGACAAATTTTAAGCCTGTTATTTAGATGTCAGAATGTATTGAATGTATGCGAGATGCAATGCCAGAACACAATTCAAATAAAATCACATGGAACACTTTATGAACACTTCAAGCAAACGCATTTGAAAAACCAGCGACAAAAGCGAAGCGCCATTTAAAAAAAAAACGGTATAGCATGAAAACATGAGGTAAAAAAAATCACGTAAGTGTAGTTGCACCTGAGTGCCATGCGTATAAGAGACATGTACCTGGTGACATGCACTATGTCTAGATCCATCTAAATCCTCAGAATCTTAGGTCTACAAGCATCAATGTTTTGGGGACGTCGGTTTACATATATTTAGTGTTAAGGGGGGCCCACCCCCCCCCTTAAGAGGGGGGCATGTACTATTAATACTTCTAGTAATACTAGTAGTAGTATTAGTATTAGTATTAGTAGTAGTAGTAGTAGTAGTAGTAGTAAAAATATCGTAGATGTATAGTAGAAATGATATTAATCGTAGTATTGATTAAATTATAATTAGTAGAAGTAGTAGTAATACTCATCGTAATAGGTTAATTTCTTTGAGAAATTCAATTGCGGCTACACGCGAGGAACCCGCGCAAAACAACACGCGCGGAACTCAGGCAAAACGCAGACTCGCGTAACGCGCGGAAACCGCGCGAAACGCAGACGCGCGGAACCTGCGCGTACTATTAATACTTCTAGTAATAGTAGTAGTAGTAGTAGTAGTAGTAGTAGTAGTAGTAGAAGTTGAAGTAGTAGTAGTAGTAGTAGTAGTAGTAGTAGGTGGTAGTAGTAGGTGGTAGTAGTAGGTAGTAGTAGGTAGAAAGTAGTAGGTAGTAAGTAGCAGGTAGTAAGTAGTAGGTAGTAAGTAGTAGGTAGTAAGTAGTAGGTAGTAAGTAGTAGGTAGTAGGTAGTAGGTAGTAGGTAGTAGGTAGTAGGTAGTAGGTAGTAGGTAGTAGGTAGTAGGTAGTAGGTAGTAGGTAGTAGGTAGTAGGTAGTAGGTAGTAGGTAGTAGGTAGTAGATAGTAGGTAGTAGGTAGTAGGTAGTAGGTAGTAGGTAGTAGGTAGTAGGTAGTAGGTAGTAGGTAGTAGGTAGTAGGTAGTAGGTAGTAGGTAGTAGGTAGTAGGTAGTAGGTAGTAGGTAGGTAGTGGGTAGTGGGTAGTGGGTAGTGGGTAGTGGGTAGTGGGTAGTGGGTAGTGGGTACTAGGTACTAGGTACTAGGTGGTACTAGGTGGTACTAGGTGGTACTAGGTGGTAGTAGGTGGTAGTAGGTGGTAGTAGGTGGTAGTAGGTGGTAGTAGGTGGTAGTAGGTGGTAGTAGGTGGTAGTAGGTGGTAGTAGGTGGTAGTAGGTGGTAGTAGGTGGTAGTAGGAGGTAGTAGGAGGTAGTAGGTGGTAGTAGGTGGTAGTAGGTGGTAGTAGGTGGTAGTAGGTGGTAGTAGGTGGTAGTAGGTGGTAGTAGGTGGTAGTAGGTGGTAGTAGGTAGTGGTAGGTAGTGGTAGGTAGTGGTAGTGGTAGTGGTAGTGGTAAGTAGTAGTAGTAGTAGTAGTAGTAGTAGAAGTAGAAGTAGTAGTAGTAGTAGTAGTAGTAGCAGTAGCAGTAGCAGTAGCAGTAGCAGTAGCAGTAGCAGTAGCAGTAGCAGTAGCAGTAGTAGTAGTAGTAGTAGTAAGTAGTTAGTAGTAGTAGTAGTAGTAGTAAGTCGTTAGTAGTTAGTAGTAAGTAGTTAGTAGTTAGTAGTAAGTAGTTAGTAGTTAGTAGTTAGTAGTTAGTAGTTAGTAGTTAGTAGTTAGTAGTAGTACTAGTAGTAGTAGTAGTTGTTGTTGTTGTAGTAGTTGTAGTAGTAGTAGTAGTAGCAGGAGTAGTAGTAGTAGTAGTAGCAGCAGCAGTAGCAGCAGCAGCAGTAGTAGTAGTAAGTAGTAAGTAGTAAGTAGTAAGTAGTAAGTAGTAAGTAGTTAGTAGTAAGTAGTTAGTAGTTAGTAGTTAGTAGTTAGTAAGTAGTTAGTAGTAGTAATAGTAGTAGTAGTAGTAATAATAGTAGCAGTAGTAGTAGTAGCAGGAGTAGTAGTAGTAGTAGTAGTAGTAGTAGTAGTAGTAGTAGTAGTAGTAGTAGTAGTAGTAGTAGTAGTAGTACTAGTAGTATTAGTAGTAGTAGTAGTTGTTGTTGTAGTAGTTGTAGTAGTAGTAGTAGTAGCAGGAGTAGTAGTAGTAGTAGTAGTAGTAGTAGTAGTAGTAGTAGTAGTAGTAGTTGTGTAGTAGTAGAAGTAGTAGGGGAGGCCGGCGGGCAGGACGGCGCAAAAATGTTGCTTGGTCATGAAACAAAAACGACCACGCTTATATGGAATTACTGTTTGGGATCTACGGCCGCTGCTTTCTTGCTGTTGGGGTATTCTTTGGGCTTATCGTTTTTTTGGGCTGGTTCCTTTGATTTGGTGTTTCATTGATGGATCCGAAACCGGTTTAGACTTGCAATAGGCATTGCTCATGATGTTCTCCTTGCCATTCATCAAAAATTACATAAAGAAGATCTCTGAAACTGGGACCAATAAGTAAGGGATGGGAACAAATCAAAGAGCTAACGGAGGGCGTAAAAGCACACCTCTTGTATTTCCAAGCGGATTTTACTTGATTTGGGCAGAAAACAAGTTTGCTTCCACATCCATCATTCCTCCCCTCCAATTGATTGAAGATACCCCACCTTGGAACGCTGGAAGTCTATGGCCACTGCGAGGCACGAGGAGAGCTTCCAGAGCCCAGTGATGTGCGGGATGCGCTGGATTTGCCTGGTAGCGGATTCACCATGACGGGCAGTGCCATGGACAGATCAAGACTTTGTGCATGTCTGGAAGGTTCTTTTCTCATCAACTGGATCTATTGGTTTCAGTGACTTCATGTCCATGACCAGCTTACCAACATGTGTGCTTTTCTCCATGTTCACCCCCTCTTCCACACTACTCGCCTACCTGTTGGTTCCGCGCTCTCCATAACTTTTTCTGCATCGCACGTGGCCTTTCTTTCGGTGCATAGGGTTTCAATGCCAATGCCTTGTATGGTTTGGTTTCATGTTATGTGCTGGATCTGCGAAACACATTGAAATGAACAAAACATCAATCCAACATGGTTATTCAAGACCTATATAAACCTGAACTTGATATCTACAGATCAAATCTGACTTAGCCATGACTGCATCGCCTTTGGGACCTGCCCAGATTTGAACGTCGGCCGTTGCGTGGTCGTGCGAGGGCTGCTTGCGCAACTCGCCCTGAGTTTGAAACATTTCTCGTTCAAATTAGCGCAGCTTGGTCGTAGGAGCATATGGGGTATCTTGTTCATAGATGATGGCGGTGTCTGAAAATGCGGTTACCCCCCCAAACTAACAAGTTTAGTTGGGAAAACGATGATAAATCATCAGATTTGGATAGATTTGGGGTGACTCTATTTTCAGACAACCCCAGATCTCTGATAGTTTTGTTCTTTAAGATTAGATTCTTATTCTTGCCGTTGCCAACTGTAAGGCAAGATATTGGTGGCCTGGGCACTCCCCGAATATTTGTGGAGCAGCGACAAGCTTCGCTCGATCGCTGCTATGGGGAGGGCAAATACCAGGTGTCTCGTCCGCTTGACGACTTGATGACCTTGAATTGATGAGTGGGTGTGTGTGGTCATATAGTCTTGTCAAGTCTGGGAAGGGTCATGGAGTAGGAACATGTATTGGAAACACACAGGTTGCAACAGGGAAACCTAGTAATAAACCTCCCATTTGGGGATCGTTTATAGCACCCAGTTGTGGTGATTTTGGAGATGGTTTATGGCATTGGGTTTACCACATTACACAGGATTTGTCGGATGACGAGGTGTTTTTGCAGCGCGAGCGGCCGCCTCCAGCTCCGAGTTTTAGCTTGTGGCGGAAGGGGGAGTTTGATCCTGCCCAAGTCAGCTCGGCGAAGGCGTGGCACGGCTTGATGCCATGATAAAATGCCGGATTATCCACCGGAAATGTTCAAAGTTGTTATTTGGCTTCACAAGTCCATAGCAAAAAGCCTGGAACGAACTGGAACGGATGGTGGCTTGCAGTTGTGATTCTGTCATTGTTAGTGTCCTTTGTCGGAGTTCCAGTTCCTAGTGAAATCATGCCTCCAGAAGAGCATTTCCTCCATCCTGGGTGCTTTATTCACAGAGTTTCCAGGGCCTTAAAACCACGCAAAAAAAATCCAACATTAGCGGGAATATCCACTGACGCCTCTTCTCCATCTATTTGATTCGGAGACTTACTGTATTTGCCTGTTCCACGCAGGAGTATCCCGCTGCTTTGTTGGTATTTCGCACTTCCGACCTGCCAATTGAAGAAGGCTCTGGGAATTTCAGGCTTGGCACTTGATGAAGCTTGTGAGAGCGGATGCCCCCCCCACTCACAATCGAAAGCGCAAACATACAATTTGAAGCAAGTTACACTTTTTTCCTGCAAGATTTCTTCAAGATTCTTATGGTCATGTGGTGCTCAGTAATAATTACCAGTGTAGAAGTCGAGCAACTTCTTGAAGCAGGCGCATTCTTATTGGAACTTCTCTCGCAGCGACCGCCGCGTTTTGCAACATCATTGCCGCAGCAGTGGGGTCGCTGAACGGCGAACGCAGTGACGCACTTCTGAACAAATCCGTGGAAGAGGTCACCTACAGCCCCATGTTGGGTGTAGCTGTGACACGCCTTGACCCAGATGGTGTTGTTCCAGTGGGTGCTGGGCTGTTGTTGATGCTCATTGTCCAGGGTTTTGGAAGAGGGAAGGCAGCTGAAAAGAATGGCGCCAAGATTCGTGGTGGTTACTTCATCCCATCTTCAAGCCTGGGCACTGTTGGACGGACTTGGTCCATTTCAGGGTTGAGACCTTAGTGAACTTAGTCGCCTTGGCCATTTTATGGCAGACAATGTGACAATGCTATTCCATATCAACTGAAGTGATCTGAGGCTTTCACCCTCTCGAAAGACGGAAGTAGACGTGGCTTTAGCTGGTTCATACGCTGGCTTTGCAACCGCTCTGCTCCTGTGTTTCGCTGGAGTTCTTCGCGGGGATGCCTCTGACGGTCTCATAGTTCTTGAAGAGACTCGGTTTCATTTTGGACGCGTGCCGTGTGTGGCATTGTCCAAAACAGATGCCATGGACTGCACATTGGACAGACTACGACAAGCTCTGTTGGTTCTGAGCATTGGACTCTGGCCGTTTTTGCACAGCTTTTCAAGGTGACTCGGCTGCCACTGCTGCTTGCACAGCTCTTGGGCGATTCATTTCCTGAAGATGCAGTGCAAACTGTGCTGAGCTTGAGTAGCGGTGAAGCTGCAGCCCCTGTGCCTGCAAAGGTGACGCGTTTTGGCAGCAAATGGGACAGAAATGCACGGACTGCAGCATTCATAACTTGCTTTGTTTGCTATATATATATATGTATGTATATATATATACCCTTGGGGGCGGGGGTTCCCCGAGGGGGGAAGGGGTGGGGTGGGGTGTAATAACGTTCATGTAACTTGCGTGAAGGGTTGGGGTGGGGGGGTGGGGTGGGGTGGGGTGTAAAAACGTTCATGTAACTTGCGTAGAATTGGAGGCGACGTGCATGCTACGTGGATGTTACGGTCATTCTAAAGTCATGTTATGTACTTCTCAGGCATATGCCATGTTACGCTAGTGTAAGTTCTCTTGTAATTGTGACGTCTACGTCATGCTACGCTAGTGTAAGTTATCTTGTACTTGTCACGCATACGTCATGCTACGCTAGTGTAAGTTCTCTTGTACTTGTCATGCATGAGTCATGCGGGGGGAAGAGGTGGGCTTGGGTGGGGTGGGGTGTAATAACGTTCATGTAACTTGCGTGAAGAGGTGGGGTGTAAAAACGTTCATGTAACTTGCGTGAAGGGGTGGGGTGTAAACATCGCAACGTTCTAGCAGCATTCTAGCAGTGCACTATGTAAGCAAAAAGCCTGGTTTGGAAAGTGTCTTGAATGCACTCGCACGCTTCAAGGAGTTGGCAATGAAAAGTTGCCGGCAGCCTGGTTTGTGCCTTCTATAGTGGTTGATATGTCTTGTACTAATGCTTTTGTATAAAAACAGAAAAAACAGCTGACTCACAGCACTCGGAAATTTTGATGATATGCAAAATCACTGTGAATTACCAATGAAAAACAACATCACATCAAAATACCTGTGGAAACACAGTATATTATACCCTTTTCCAATGATCTTTGATATAGCACAAAATGCGCACCTCGTAATTCCAATGGAGAAAATAAGAACACCAAAAAAAACATATTGTGATGGTCCATAATTGACTTCAACTTCGACGGACGAAAAAAAAATGCTCCGTAATTGAAAGACATCAACAATGAAAAGAACGACATGAAAAATCTCCATTTTACCACAGTGAAACACTGTTTTTTCTCCAATTCAATGATCCTGATTGACGTCCTCTCGGGGAACCTCCTCCCCCTGCCGTATATATATATATATATATTATATGTCGTTGCGAAATGTTTCGGGACCGCAAACACCATGAATTACTGGGGCATTGTCTGCAGATCATCGTTGAACTCTTACTGTCGCCTTCTCCCATCTTTTCATTTTGCTTCAGATTTTCTTCCTATTCATTTCATTCGTTTCATTCGTTTCATTCGTTTCCCAGGGTAGATCCACTTCTGCTGAGTGGCAGCCTTGCGGTGACAACGCAAGCTGTGCAGCTGCTGCCACTGCGCGGCTTTGATGGACATCTTCTGGCAAGGTGGGCTGACCGAATGGATAGAGGGTGGCGATGACAGTGTGTGCCCATATTCTTGATGCAAAGTTCGCTGTTAAATGAGAGACTGAACAGCCATAGTGCTTGGACTGAGATGGGAAAATACAATTTATATGTGTATATATATATAGAGATTGACTTGATTGAAAAGAACTGCTTTGTACGCTGCCTGCTGGCATTTGTAAAGCAGCTTTCGAATTGTGAGGTTTCTATTTGGACCGCGACCACTGCAACTACTGGAGAGCCTCGACTGAAAATGTTTGCGAAGTCAGAATGAACTCCAAAGATCACACTGAATTGAGGGTTCAGGGTTCAGAACACAAGTAATTTAGCAAAACAAATGCATTGAAACTGCCATGTTTTCTTTTGTTGCCTGTCTTGAAGGCTTTGCACCGGCGTACTTCTTCTTCTCGGTGCAGTGGAACGGCTGGGCCCCAATGCCAACGCCACAGTCTGCTCAACCGCACTTTTCGCCTGGGCTGCCAGATTTTTCGCATCAAGGCAGGTTTCCAGAAGGGGATTCTTAAGTTCTTGAGTCACTCGAGCCTTGAATTCTACAAAACGACACAAGTTCGAAGCAGTCTTGTTGGTGGTGCTCCGCCTTCCCCTAAGAAGGTGGAAGGTGGAAGTGCTGTAGACAAGCAGTTTTGTGGATGCCGGTGAGAAGTTTGTGTAAGCCATGTAGAAGATCGAAGCATCTCTGGCTGCCACCGTCGTTTTCTTTGCAGGGAGAATCCCATGCCGCCTCGTGAAGACTTCGACGATGAACCAAGTGCATCACCTGCAGAAGCGGCTGCAGCTGCTCTTGCGCTTGCAGCTGCTGGGGCAATTCTCATTCCGGGTCACCTGCCTGCTTTGTTAGACATTGGGAGTTGATTGCAGTTCACGTGTCCATATGAGATTCTACGGGCCCCCAATTTTGTGCTGTAATTTCACAGCACAGTTCCGATGACCCATCACCTGACTCCAGAATCTCGGATGAACGCAGCCGTGTGAACTGGCATAGTTTGTTTTGCAAGACTGCACTTCGACCTACTTCGCCCAAGGCAAGTTGATACCGTATGGCCTGCTGAGTGCATCGCTTCAGTGATGCGGATGACTATCGTTTAGAATTTAGAGATTTAAAGATGGTGCTGAGCGCATCGCTTGGTGGGTTGGATCCGATGAATTGCTTTTAAGCTCCCGCCAATTTCGGATTTGGAACTTGCTCGACTCAAGCTGCGGCCATTTGTAGCACCAAGGCGGGTTCCTGGGCCAGTTATTTGTCCATTGTTTCCAAGAGCTTGGGACAAGACGCCTACACACAATATGCAGCACGTTGCTGAAATTGGTGCGTACAACTCATGCAGCATTCATTGGTACTCCAAGAATTCCGGAAACCAGGAAGAAGGGAATTAGATGCATTCAGAAGTGGGGATATTGTTGGACCCCTCTGGTTGCCATTCAACACAGCTACGGAATGATTTTACCAACGGCGATTTTGCACTCAGCGTGCTTTTTGGCACCTCCATGGTGTGGGTGCGGACACTTCAACCACTCAGGCCAGATTTTTGAGCATGACTCTGTTTGAGTCATGTCCACGCTTCCGACTCGAGGGTTGTGACCTGGATGTTGCATGGGTCGGGGACGGCTGCCAGGCTATCTGTGGACTAGATTCCGACTTGATAGTTTTAAGAGGGCTCACTGCCATACTTCACCTTCTATATCCTTCTCGAATGTGCGTAGTGCGTACTGTGTGCGCCATCAGATCTTGTGGAAGCCTTGGATGTTTTCTTTGAGTAGCCAAGCTTGGCAGGTGTTGGTGTAGACACCTGGCCATCATCACACGTCCCAGACTTCAGAAACGAATACAGAGCCGTTGACCGCTGCTGATATGTCGGGTCGACTGAGGCAATGCGAGAGTGAAGTGTCACGGTCAGTGTCCTGCTCCAAGCAGCAGGGTTTGGCTCTGAGAGTATGATCAGATACACATACCCAAAGAATTTTTAAGAGGCATGTTCTATTCTATTGTATCTTGTTGATTCTTGTTGTATTTCGCTGTCAAAGCTGTGAAGCACTCGGCAAGCATTCGTTTGATTCAGAAACCATAACATGTTTCCTTCAGTTGTCGTTCACTCTACAATCCTTGTGGGACAGCCAAGAGACCAAGAGAAACTTATTGTTCAACTGACAGATCTTGAAAGTATCAGCTTGCAGATGTGCGAGGCACATGGGAAAGCATTCCTTCCTCTTGGTGCAGGAGGCGAGACAGCCAAGAGGTCAGTCCAAAAAATCACAAGAATTTCTCAGAAATAGTTGGGTCATATTTTGAGGGGATGAACATCATCCATAAATTGCCATAAATTGGCATGAATCCCAGCACCGGGTTTACCAGAGCCCAGGGTTTTGAACCCCTGCAACGACAGGCCTATCTTTGCTGTTGAGCAGCGGGCACTTACTCCTGGAGGAAGAGGTGCAGATTTTCGCTGATTTTGGCACTGGGAAAACAGGGAATGCATTGCGACAGGACGAAGATGAAGAAGAGGAGGACTTCACGGTGACTCAGCGAATAGAATCAAGTAGACATTTTCACGAAAGCCAGCCGCTAGGCTAGGCGAAGTTATTTTTGCGAACAAAGTGAGTTAAGGGGGTCTGGGGGCAGAGCGCCCCGAGAGGGACAAAAATGAGGAAATTAGGTGGTAAAAAAGGTGGCCACAGGTAAACTTTTTTAGGGTTATGTACCAGGTGGCAATTGGGTGACGTTGGGGTATCGATTCCCCCCTGGTCCGCCCTCCGAGGTGGATCTGGGCAGATTGCAATGGAGGGGAAAATGATGAGAAAAACAATAGAAAAAATGAGGGAATATGACATAAAACAATGGGAAAAAAATGGGAAAGGAGGGGAAAATGATGAGACAAACAATGGAAAAAAGGAGGGACTTTGACATAAAACAATGGAAAAAAATGGGAAAGCAATGGAACATTTGAGTAGAACGCTTGGAAAATTGTTTAAAACGCGAGGAGAAACGGTGGAAAGAATAGGGAGAGGGTAAAATGATGCCAAGTAAAATTGAGGCTCCGATGTGGGACCATTATCGCGTAAAGCATGCGTGAAACAAGGGAAAAGCAATGGAAAAATTGCAGTTTCGATGTGTGACCACTATGGAGTAGAAGCACAGAAAAAAAACATGGAAGAAACGAGCAAAACCGTTTATACGGTGCAACTGTAGGGATTGTGGAAGGTGCATTTGGGTAAGCGTTAGACACACTGAAGAAATCGAGTAACACCATGGCAAAACACTGTGAAAAGTGATGAAACGGAAAGATAAATTGATAGCATAAAATATGGGAAAAACAATGAACAAATGAATGGGAAAGCAATGGAAAATTGGAGTGGAATGTTTCGAAAATTGATTGCAAAGCGAGGAAAATTGGTGGAAACAATGAGGAGCGGGTAAAATGATGCCAGGTCACGTAAAGCACGCGTGAAACATTGGAAAAGCAATGGAAAAATTGCAGTTTTGATGTGTGACCACTATGGAGTAGACGCACGGAAAGAAAACCATGGAAGAAAGACGATTGAGTAAAACTGGAGGAAAAACTGTGAAAAAAACACTGGGGAGACTGGAATGAAGGGGAAAATGGTGTCGAGTAAAACTATGGAAAAGCAATGAAAAGAAACTATGGCGTCGACGTGGATCGATGGGAAAGCAATGGAAAAATTGAGAGACTGGACTATGATGAAGAAGTGGAGAAAAACAATGGAAAAAACATTGGAAAAATTGCGGCTCTGATGTGGGATCAAAATGATGCCAAGTAAAATAAGAGTAAAATGACGGAAATTGATGGGATGGAAACACAATGGAAAAATTGAGGCTCCGATGTGGGACCATTATATGTGCAAGAAGAGTTTCTGGGTGAAGAGTCTCTAGGTGAAAAGTATATGGGTGAAAAAATTGTGCAAGAAGAGTTTCTGGGTGAAGAGTCTCTGGGTGAAAAGATGTGAAAAGTATATTGGTGAAAAGTATGTGCAAGAAGAGTTTCTGGGTGAAGAGTCTCTGGGTGGAAAGTATATGGGTGAAAAGTAGGTGCAAGAAGAGTCTCTGGGTGAAAGTATATGGGTGAAAAATATGTGCAAGAAAAGTTTCTAGGTGAAGAGTCTCTGGGTGAAAAGTATATTGGTGAAAAGTATGTGCAAGAAGAGTTTCTGGGTGGAGAGTCTCTGGGTGAAAAGTATATTGGTGAAAAGTATGTGCAAGAAGAGTCTCTGGGTGAAAAGTATATGGGTAAAAAGTATATGGGTGAAAAGTATGTGCAAGAAGAGTCTCTGGGTGAAAAGTATATGGGTGAAATGTATGTGCAAGAAGAGTTTCTGGGTGAAGAGTCTCTGGGTGAAAAGTATATGGGTGAAAAGTATGTGCAAGAAGAGTTTCTGGGTGAAGAGTTTCTGGGTAAAAAGTATATGGGCGAAAAGTATGTGCAAGAAGAGTTTCTGGGTGAAGAGTCTCTGGGTGAAAAGTCTGTGCAAGGAGAGCTTCTGGGTGAAGAATCTCTGGGTGAAAAGTATATGGGTGTGCAAGAAGAGTTTTTGGGTGAAGAGTCTCTGGGTGAAAAGTATATGGGTGAAAAGTATGCGCAAGAAGGGTTTCTGGGTGCAGAGTCTCTGGGTGAAAAGTATATGGGTGAAAAGTATGTGCAAGAAGAGTTTCTGGGTGAAGAGTCTCTGGGTGGAAAGTATATGGGTGAAAAGTATGTGCAAGAAGAGTTTCTGGGTGAAGAGTCTCTGGGTAAAAAGTATATGGGTGAAACGTATGTGCAAGAAGAGTCTCTGGGTGAAAAGTATATGGGTGAAAAGTATGTGCAAGAAGAGTTTCTGGGTGAAGAGTCTCTGGGTGAAAAGTATATGGTTGAAAAGTATGTGCAAGAAGAGTTTCTGGGTGAAGAGTCTCTGGGTGAAAAGTATATGGGTGAAAAGTATGTGCAAGAAGAGTTTCTGGGTGAAGAATTTTTGGGTGAAAAATATATGGGTGAAAAGTATGTGCAAGAAGAGTTTCTGGGTGAAGAGTTTCGGGGTGAAAAGTATATGGGTGAAAAGTATGTGCAAGAAGAGT